TAACACACGCTATAAATCACAGCTATTCACACACTTTACTTACGGTGCCTACTGTTCGCTTGACTCAATTATCTATCTCTTCAATCGCGCTGGTTTTTATCGCCAAGCTTATATACTAAAAAGAGGGCGTCTCGATCAGACTAGAGTTGCCGGGCAAATTCATGATCCTTCGAGAAACTCCAGCGCGCATGCTCCCACGTCGCGTGACTTCCGCTGTCGTAACAGTTACAAAAGAAATTTTCTTATTAATTGCAAAACAAAAGCTATAGATTGCTGTCGATGATGGCTTTATTAATTATGTCCAATATCCTTTTAAATGTTATTGTGTTAAGCTGTTTTTACTTTGGGTAAGGGTTGGACAATTTTAAATTTTGACGCATATTTTATATTTTTTCTGTACAATCATAATCAGCAATTTTGTTGTGCTCAAATTCAAGTTCTTGACCTGTAGGTCTAAAAAATTTGAATCGATATAACTTATATAATGTTGTGTTCAAAGGCAGGCTTAATTTCTCTTTAGGTGTCTGATAAATAGATGTATAACTTATTTCATATAATATTGTGTAGGTGAATAGAAGTAATTAAAATCAAACAGAAAGTTTTCCTGTTAACAATTGTCTTTAAGCTACAAAATTATAAAGCAAGTGGTCAGGATTTTAGTTCTTTTAAATTAAGATCCCGGTCAGCGAGAATTTCACCCTTGGGGCTGCCGTGCGCACTTAAAAAAATAAATAAACGGGGAAAGTGTGCAATAGGTGCGGAATGGTATAAAAAGGCGAGAGCAACTTTCAGAATATAAAAATCCTTTCTGATCGTGGAGAAATGGGCAAAAACGATCGGCTACCTTCCGACTTCCTAATAAATCAAAGGAAAGATTCGGAACACTTTGATTTTAGCAAATATTTATTTTATTTCCAAAGATGTTATTAATCAATTTCAATGTATAATTAGTGAGAATAAATATGTTTCTAGTTTTCTTCTAGTACGTCTTCAATCTCAATGTCCAAATCTTGTAACGAAACACTTTCTTCAGCACACATTTCCATAAGAACATCTTGCTCTGCCTCTTCGAAATCCTGCTGGAGTATCTCTGGCTTCGTTTCTATGATAAATTCGTTAATTTTATTAGCACCTAACCTGAAAAATGATTTGATTTTAGCAACTGATATGTCCAATTGCTCAACCCAATCATACTTCAAGGTATCATCTAGAAAAACTGTCCTGCTCGTATCACGACGCTTTAACTCATATAAATCCTTCAAAGCCAACAATGTTCCATGTGACCAATTGCATTTAGAGTTCCCAGGATATGCTGCCCATACTTTTTGTATAATGCTTGAATTGAGAACTTCTTTCGTTTCAAAATAGAAACAAATTCTGTGGAGGTTGTTCTATCTGAGAGTCAGTAATGTCAAGGGCCCTTTTGAAAATGTCACCCCCCCCTCAACATTTCCCGGCTCTGATCTGGCTGTGTCTCAGCATCAGAAGGTCCAGGTCGGACTACCAGAGGTGGCTTTTCTGAAAGTGTCGATAATTTGAACATGATCTTTGAACCATTTGACGTCGGGCGTTGATCTGCTTCCAGTTTTGGCAGTATACTTGCGTGAAATAACAGGTCCCTTAAGACCACTTGCATCCACAAGAATTGTGGTTGTTCCTGCAATACCTCCTTGAAATTAAAGTGCAGAATAAATCCCTTCTTTCGATGTGACGTCATTTCCATCTTCTAAGTACGCTTTAAAATCTATATTTACGAACGAAAAGTGCGTGATCAAGCGCTTTTTTCCCTGTCCGCGCCTCCGTATAGACCCATATATCCAGTTTTAATTACTCTTCTGGATTGTTCTTACCTTGAGGCTCCTTATTGAGCTGGTAAATGTACAGAATAAGCTCCTGCGACGCAAATCCTGTTGTGTTATCAGTCTGGAATGTCATGTGACGAACATCTGGAAAACGAGTCTCAACTTCTTTCATAATTAGAGTGGCAACACTACTTACTTGTACATTATTCTGGCCTGTGTACCCATCTAATACATAGTCTACAAAAAATGTTCCCAGCCATTACCATTCCACTGAATAATCATAACACCAAGCATACCCATTACTTTTTTTTCGAAATACTCTACTTGACCTTCCCTGTACTTCATGGGAAGGATTTTTTTGTTTGTGATCCCATACTGTAAGAACTTTTGTTCGATCGTTACGTATATCCTCCATAACTCTTGCAATGTCCTTGAACTGAATCTTAGCCCTTAAACGATGCGAAACGTAGCGTATTACTGAATTCTTTAACGCAGGTATACACCGAAGCATATTCAGGATCTCTGGACGATGTTTCTCCGTAGCATGACTGCAAGAAATCTTTCACTTCTGTTTCAAAAAATATGTAGCAGGCACGGAATTTATTACAAACTGAAATGTAATCACCATCTACTGCTATTGTTGCCAAGCATTTCCCATCATCTACCCCTTGAGCATATAGACATGAATGCAGTGGATCAGCTCTTCATGCTTTCAATGTCCAAATTGCAATATTCCATTTCCTTCACGCGTACCACCATCCTCTTTGCTTGCATACCTTTGGCGGATGTAGTATGTGGACAACCCTGTTTTGTTTTCCCCTCGCTTGCTCACGAGTTTCAACACATCTTTGAATGTTGGCTTTCCAGCTTTCTGTGCCGTATTATCATACGCTTCATTGTAATGGTTCCACAATGCCTTCAAAACCCTTTTATCCTCGGTCTAGTACTGGTAGATGTTGAAATAAACATCCTGCAAGACGTACGTTACGAGTTGAGCCTGGCTTTAGAGCAACTGTTGGCTGCAGAAAAACGATTAAGTTTGCTACTTTTGCTGGGTCAACTCCAAAACTGAAATCTTTTTTCGGGGGATCTTTTACAGTTTAAGATATCAAATGTCTTGTGTAAGCTTGCAAATTTCAATTTGTCACATAGCACTCTTCGTATATGGACAATGGAGCCACCACTCTGTTCTTCCTCTTGCTGTCGGTTCTCTGCTTCTTTACGATTTCTCTGCCGAAGCAAAACACCTTCCTTCTGTAGTAAATCATGAAGTGATTGCCAATCAAGGGACTTTACAAGCATTCTTTGAGCAACCGTAGAAACCACTGTATTAGCCCAAATGCCAAGTTGAATAACGTTTTTCTCCAGCTTATTCCTATCATCCATTCGTTTTGGACCTTCAAGCAATTCCTGCAACGTTTCTGGATCAGACGGACACACTAACCTCAGAACTCCATTACACACAAGACGACACATTTTTAAAGCTCTCAATAGCGTTTTCCCAAGCTCAACTAGTTTTCTCCTTTGATGCCATTCTTTGGAAAATCATTCAGTGAGATCTACTCAATGATCAAGATCGCAAAAATTTTCTCCAATTTGTCAAGATTGGTCAATGCATTACCGGAAGAACCTATTCCATCACTGGAGGACGATATAATCCATCAACGAACCTCTCTCGATTAGCTCCCCTAAGTGCTGTTCGTTTGGTTACCCTTCTCTTTTTTTTTTATATGCTTTTGGATCATTTGAACTACTCCACATCTACTTTGGGGGATAACATGGCGATGTTTTGCTGTACATATATAGCTGGAGGATCACAATGTAAACACATTCCACAGCTTTTGCAGCTTTCCTTTCTTTTTGTATTTATGTTCTTCACATGGTCCTGGCCTTCTTGTAACGTCGGTCATACTTGAGCCATGCAAAAATGGAACGCTGATTTTGAAACAGCTGAATTTTATACATACGGCAGTGTTATCCGGTTTTTATGCTATTTTTTCCGCGCAAAAATGATTCTGTAATTTTGGGTGGGTTTCTGATTGACCGGGATCTTAAGGAAAAGGTGTTAGTACAATCTGTTGTATGGGCAACGCTATGACAAACCGGAATGTCGTGAGTACATTGTAATATACTGTATGAACAACGCTATGGCAAACCGGAATGTCGTGAGTACATTGTAATATACTGTATAAACAACGCTATGACAAACCGGAATATCGTGAGTACATTGTAATATACTGTATAAACAACGCTATGACAAACCGGAATGTCGTGAGTACATTGTACTATACTGTATGAACAACGCTATGGCAAACCGGAATGTCGTGAGTACATTGTAATATACTGTATGGACAACGCTATGACAAACCGGAATTTCGTGAGTACATTGTAATATACTGTATGAACAACGCTATGACAAACCGGAATTTCGTGAGTACATTGTAATATACTGTATAAACAACACTATGACAAACCAGTTACAATGTACTCACGAAATTCCGGTTTGTCATAGCGTTGTCCATACAGTATATTACAATGTACTCACGAAATTCCGGTTTGTCATAGCGTTGTCCATACAGTATATTACAATGTACTCACGACATTTATACTGTATGAACAACGCTGTGACAAACCAAAAGCTCGTGAGTACATTAGAAGCTATCACGTGAACCACAAGAGATGCTCGATGCTTATGAATATGACAATTATAACATGAATTGTTCATGCTCATTATTGATAGAAGCATAAAAGTTACTTCTATCTCTGTTTAGTGATTGGATGAACACATTCTCGATCCTGGCAAGCTGTACCAAATATTTGAACTAAAGTTGTAATTGTAAAGGACAAGAAAAAGGTTCTTAGTAATGTAAAAACATAGGAAAATCAAATGAAAACAGTCACAATGAGAATCTTGATTGAGATTTTTTGAGAGTTAATAGTTAAAAATTAGCACTTATAAAAAACAATGTAATACAAAATTAGTTACTATAAGAAGGTATGTAAAGGTTACCTTAAACGACTGACATTCGATCAGAAACTCAAAGGTGAACCCGTTCACAGCTCAGACGCGAATCTAATTTTAACTCAGCCGAAAAGTCGGGAACACATAACATAATTATTTATTCTATTTGGATACGAGCTTTTAACTTCATAGTGTAGTGTTCACTGATGCAACTGAAGATCAATGTGTGCTGGTTACATCTCAGCCACATGAACTTATACACCGCTACAGATTCCTTTTGCTTATCCAGTCGAATTAAAGCAGTATAGCTAGTTATTGTTTGGGGTTTTTGAATCTTTCTTAACTCATCATATGGTAACCTAAGTTAATCTAGGTGTGAGAATAATATTATGACATGCATTAAGCCCAATTTATTGTTAGTTATTATAGAGAGGAACAACTGTTTACATATTTTTTGCCACCAAAGGTAGAATTGAAAATACAATCTGTGACGTAGAGGCCTAATTCTTACGTTGATTCTCCGTATCCTCTAATGTTAAAACTTGTATGGTGCATATAACTTTATCCATAAACAGAAACATAAGTATTTCTCCAATTGACATTACATTCTTGTACTTCATCTAATTGAGAAATGAAAACACATAAGAAAACATGCACCATTAAATATAATCATTTGAATACATAAAATTTCAGTTTTACATTATCATCAATAGATAAATAAATGAAAAATATTATTCATCTCACTTTGTCTAGAAACACAAGGTCTTCCTGATAAAGAGGTAAACAAACGTAAATTTGTCCGTGGCTTCCTACCAGAAACAGTGGCATCACCAGCAGCATGAGGAATCCAGAGAAGAGGAACATTAAATACACGGAACTAGATTTAAAAGTACGGAAAGTTTAGGCTTTAAACTTAGATTGATGTGTATTATTCAAAATATATGTTAAAATATAAACGTTGAAATATATTAATAAACTGTTACCATTGTGTTGTTTGATGGGTAACTAACCCATAGATTGTAAGAAATACTAATTATTTAAGACAACTATGTAGAATTTATAGATAATCTGTTTGATGTATTTGAATTTACGAGTTTAACATATTTTTCAGACATTCAAATAACTCAAATTTACCGTAAGTTAAGTACAAATCAAAATCAGATAATATACAGGAGTAATACCAGTTGTACATATCAGAATCAGGTAATATACAGGAGTAATACCAGTTGTACATATAAGAATCAGGTAATATACAGGAGTAATACCACTGTAGAGATCAGAATCAGGTAATATACAGAGTAATACCAGTTGTACATATCAGAATCAGGTAATGTACAGGAGTAATACCAGTTGTACATATCAGAATCAGGTAATATACAGAGTAATACCAGTTGTATAGATCAGAATCAGGTAATACACAGGAGTAATACCAGTGGTATAGATGAGAATCAGGTAATATACAGGACTAATACCAGTTGTACAAATCAAAATCAGGTAATATACAGCAGTAATACCAGTTGTACAGATCAAAATCAGGTAATATACAGGAGTAATACCAGTTGTCCAGATCAGAATCAGGTAATATACAGGAATAATACCAGTTGTGCAAATCAGAATCTGGACCACTTGGTCGTTGCCTACTTTGAATTCGTTGAGCGTTCCGGATGACATGACCTTTGTCTTCTTGATGTTCAACAGCCGACCAGCTCCCGCACTTTCTTGTTTAACTTTCTTAAGAAGCTTTCTTAGGTCTTCCCCACTTTCAGTTAACAAAGTGGTATCATTTGTATATCTTAAATTGTTAATGTTTCGACCTCCTACTTAGACTCCAGCCTCGACCCCTTCCAGTCCAGCCCTTCTAATGATGTTTTTGCTGTACAGGTTAAACAAGTATTGAGATAAGATACATCCCAGCTCACTTCTCTTCCAATGTCTTCACTGTAGCCTCTTGCTCTGTGTTAAGATTCCCCAGCAGAAGACTCTCACATTTCTCTACCACTCCTAATTCCCACTTGTTCACTGTCGCTTCTTTTCCCATGAAAAGTTCAAGTCTTCTCTGTTGGATTTTAAACATAACTTTGCTGGCATATGGGATCAGGGCAATATATATAATACGGTTGTTGGCATATTCTTTAGCGTCTCTCTTCTTCGGTGAAGGGATTTACACTGATCGTTTCCATTCCTTAGGACAAGAGATCATATTCCACACTTGTTGACAAATAGCTTTTAGTACCTGTGATTGCCTCGTCTCCGGCTGCGTTGAACAGTTCTATGGTGCTTTTGAGTTCACCAGTTTATTCAATGCTCACCGCACTTTACTTTCTAGTACCGTAGGCTCATCACACTTTACTTTCTAGTAACACAGGCTCATCACACTTTACTTTCTAGTACCGTAGGCTCATCACACTTTACTTTCTAGTACCGTAGGCTCATCACACTTTACTTTCTAGTACCATAGG